CAGACGGCGCAAGAGGGTCCCAAGAAGACCCCAAGAGGGGCCCAAGAGAGGGAACGCGAGCTGAAAAATCAAGCTCTTCGCCCCAAGATGCCCCCAAGAGGCCCCAAGAGGCCAAGAGGCCCCAAGAGGCCCCTAAGAGGCCCCCAAGAAACCCAAAAGAGGCCCCAAGACGGCACCCAAAAGGCTTCAAAACTCTTCATAGGAGCCCCCCCGAAGACATATATATATAGAGAGAGAGAGAGAGACATATGTATATGTATACGTGTATTTACATATACTTTCACACATGAAATTTATATGCATATATATATATATATATATACATTTTCATGGGTGTGTCGGGGCGCCAGGGACGCTTCCAGACCGCCCAAGACAGCCCTAACACAGATGAAAAGGGCCGCGAGAAGCCTCCAGGAGGCCTCCAGGAGGCCAAGACGGTCCCAAGAGAGACACAAGAACGGGAACGCGAACCCAACAGCAGAGTCTTCCGCCCGAAGAGGCCCAGAGAAGGCCCCAAGAGCCCCCGAGTGTTCCGACGAGGCCCCCATAAACCTCCCAAGTGGCCCCAAAAGGCCCCAAGAAGACGCATAAGGGGCCCCAAGATTGCCCAACAGTGCCCTCGATGCATCAAAACTGTCTGCAGGAGGCCCCCGGGAGGCTTCGGGATTGCCTCAGTGTGGCCCCAGGCCCCTCAAGTCGGGCCCTCACGCAGCCAAGACGGCCAATGACGGCTTCAGATTGCAGAACATCACTGTCCGACTGCCCCGAGAACCCCGTCGATGTTCCCAGGGGACCCCAAGAAGCCCCAAGACGCACCCCCAAGAAGCACCCAAGAGGTGCCTCCAACAGCAAAGTGAGGAAGCACGGAGAACCCCCCAGAAGCCCTTCAGATGCCCCCACGAAGACCCAAGAGGTCCCCAAGAGGCCCTCAGGAGACACCACTATGTCACGCGCCTGTGCTTGATAGCGCTGTCCAAGATCTTCCAGCGCCCCCCCGGCGTGGACTGGAACTTGAGCGCGCGCGAAGCGCGCGCGATGGTTCTAGTGTGTGTGTGTGTGTATGTGTGCGCATGTGTGTGTTTTTGGGTATATGTGTGTGTGCGGGTGTGTGTGTGTGGGTGTGAGGAGATGGGAAGGGGTAGCCTGTGAGCTGTTTTATTCGTCAAGCGTGGTTCGCAAACTAATTCCCTCTCTGAGTTGTTCCGTCGTGCGACGTGCAAGTGCTGGAGAACTCAAGTGTCGCAAGCTCACCCTCCTTTTCCTCAGTTGGGCAGCGTAGTGGTTTTGCAAGCTCAGACATGGACCGAGGATGACCCTGATATCGCTCCGCCTCCCATGATCCCCCCCCACTCCTTCCGCATTCAGGCGCACCGAGGCCTTCCATGAATGGCGATGTCGCATGTGTGGCAGGCAGGTTTGCCCGTCCGATAGTCTCACTTCAAGTCCTGGTTCACAGCGGGGCCATGAGAGACTGCGCGCCCACCCCAGTCCAGAAGCTCACCGCTGATGCTACTTGGCTCCGGGACCATGGGCCCGCATTCACCTGTTGGGAGTTCGAGGTGGTGCGGTTGGTTTGCGAGGTCGCAGACCGCGTCGAGGCCAACGGCGGTGGCGATGCCGGCCACCCTGAGCCCGTGCCCAAAGGGGAGGACGATGTTGGGTTGGGCCATGGCATGATCAGATGCGGCCCAATATTTCGCTGCAACAGCTGATGAGCGCAAGGAGGTGGAGCCAGAGGCCGACCCCTCATGCGAGTCCTTCTGCCTACCTTGCCCACCTTGCCCGTCACCAACGCCCCTGACGCCTGACGCTGTCGGCCCGTGGGACAGTCGCCCGACGAGGCCGATGGTGCCAACCCGCCTCCTCCTCCCTCTCCTCATCCTCATCGTCTGGACAATGTGTTTGTCGTCGTTTTACTTCAACCTGTCGCAGCGTTCGGCCTAACACATTTGAGGAGGGAGAACGGGATGGTGATGATGATGATGATGACGATGACGATGACGATGACGATGATGATGATGATGATGATGATGATGATGATGATGATGATGATGATGATGATGATGATGATGATGATGACGATGACGATGACGATGACGATTACGATGATGATGATGATGATGATGATGATGATGATGATGATGATGATGATGATGATGATGATGATGAGGATGAGGATGAGGATGAGGATGAGGATGATGATGACGATGACGATGACGATGACGATGACGATGACGCTGATGCTGATGCTGATGCTGATGATGCTTGTGGTGGTGGTGATGATGATGATGAGGAGGAGGAGGAGGAGGAGAAGGACAAGGAGGTGGAGGAGCGGGGCCTCAGCTGTCATTCCAGAGGCTTACGCCATTCCGCCGAACCCTCGAAGAGGTAAGAAGTCCACGGGTGACGCCTTTGAGGGCCTCTTGAGGTCCCTCTGGGGGCCACTGTTGGGCCTCTTGGGGCCTCTTCGGGCATCTTGGGAGTTTCGTGGGCGCCTGCT